TGCTTTTGCAGTATGCTTTGGGTCATTGTCCATCTGCACTGTGAAGCGCCGTCCAATGAGTTCTGAGGCATTTGGCTGAATATGAGCAGATAATATTGCCCGAAACACTTCAGAATTCATCGTGCTGCTTTTGTCAGCAGTCACATCATCAATAAATACAAGAGAACCAGTTCCACTGGCAGCCATAAATGCCCACGCCATGACACTTCCAGCACCATGCTTCACTGATGAGGTGGTATGCTTAGGATCATGAGCAGTTCCTTTCCGTCTCCATACTCTTCTCTTCCCATCACTCTGGTACAAGTTGATCTTGGTCTCATCTGTCAATTGGTTTTCCATTATTTCTTATGGGAAAAATTCGATCAGAACGCGAACTTTTTAGGATTCGATTCGGAGTCCGGAACAGATTAAGTTTGAGAACCGAGGTACCACTGTATACTGTATATTATTTTGTACTGTATGTATGTTCTTTACTATTCCTGCTACTTATGTTACGGTATTCACGGGAAAGCATGAAGCTGTATTTGTGTAAATTATATTATTTGTGAAATAACATTTCAATGTTTATTATCCAGTAATATTATGTTTGTATTAGCTTTTGTGTGATTTGTATTAGTGCAGCCTGCATGTTTAGTAACGTTTACATACAAATGTAATGTTTCTCTTCTGTTAGAGAAAGTTAGTTTTTTCTCTTTTTGCTTTTCTTTAGTTTCACTCTGTAGATATTTGAAGGAAACGTCACAATAAAAAAGGACACTACACCTGTCACTTATCTACGAGTTTATCTGTCTGCTTAACTGTGGTCAGTTCGAGCAGTGAGGGCAGAACAGTGAAAAGGCAGATTCCATCGTTAGTAAGAAACCTCAGGTGGATGCTCAAGTCTAACCACAACATGTCTCAGCTACAGGACAGCGAAACAATGTCGGTCTGCTCACAGGTTTCAAAAGGATCAAAGTGTTCCAGTAAATCATCAACCAGCATGGCTGCAGTCAACGCACAGGCTAAAGCGGAGGCAGCGCGAACGAGAGCAGCATTCGCTCAAAGGGAAATTGAAATGAGAGTCAAGCAAGCAGAGCTCAAGGTAGAGGAGACACGTCTGGAGGCCACATTAGAGGCGCTTCATAAACAAAGTGATGCAGAAGCTGCCCTCGCTTCAGCTAATGTATATGAAGCAGCAGCGAGCGAAATTGATAGAGAGCGATCGAGTGGTCGCCTTTCTCAAATGTTTCAGACCATAGATCGCACCAGTGGTTATGTGAATGACCAAGCTGTTCAAGATGATAAATTAGCACCATGTGAAGACGCGAAACATCACGACATCCTAAACTCTTCTACATCCACTCAGCTCGGACAGAGGGTTGATATGTCTGACCATACAAATAGACCCTATGTCTTGCTACCTTTTACACAGGGTGGTAACGTCTTACAACCATCTCAGTGCTTTACAGCACAAGCACCAACACAGTACTCAGTACCATGGACTCCACCGCAAGAATCCTCAAACCTGCATGACCTCACCAGATTCCTAGCCAGACGCGAGTTGCTCACTGGAGGACTTATGAAAGTTAGTGACAAGCCAGCGGATTATTGGGACTGGAAGTCTTCATTTGAAAATGCTATTCGAGACTTACTCTTGACGTCTAGTGAAGAGCTTGACTTATTAATCAAGTGGTTAGGGGAGCAGTCTTCACAACATGCAAAACGCCTTCAAGTAGTCAGCAACCCTTCTCTCGGACTGACTAACGTGTGGGAGAGGCTAAATTAGCACCATGTGAAGACCCTAGTAAAGAGTGTCCTATCCACAAAAAGCCTCATGCACTCAACAAATGCAAAGCATTCAGGGAGAAGTCTCTGGAGGACCGTAAAGCATATCTGAAACAAAACCAGTTATGTTTTCGATGCTGCAGTTCTTCCAGTCATCAAGCTATGAACTGTAGGGCAGAGATCCACTGTGTAAAATGTGCAAAAAGCTGCAGAGCTGAATAAGGCTCATATTCATCAGCGGTAACTGGGTTATATTCTCTAAAGGTTACATTGTATTTTGCAGGTTAGATCTTTACAGTAGTCTTAAGGATTACATTCACTAAGTGTTATACAGTGCTAAATAATATTCCATATATTTCCCCATTTTGGGATTCACAAGAGTCCCACACACAATCCTGTCCATCCAGCCTAGAAAGGAGGACAAATACCCCGAGCTTCAGGGAAATTCCACTCCCAGCCCGCCACAGGCGCGGCCCCCCTTTGGGGTCCATGGCTGGCATGGGTCACAAACTACCAATGCTCAGATTCAGACACTCGCGGTATAGTGGTATAATTCAGTAAATAGTGGAGAGAACTGCCATGTAATAAACTCTCCAAGAAATATTGCATACACTTCACATAATCTACCAAGACTACATATTCTAATACAATCTCAATACAGTATGTAAGTGTATATGTTTCTCACATAAGGATAACTGGATGTTAATTGATAATGCTGCAATCCAACGTCCATAACATGCACTTTTTCACAATTCTTCACAAATGGTTCTTGGCATCATAGTAGGCAGCGGATCCCCAGCGGTTCTTTGGTAATGTACTCATGGCAGGAACAGCATTACTCCCAACGTGGGCAGGACCTTGACAATGACATCTGCGTTGTCGTCTATTTCCATGTTGCTCCAGGAAGTCGCTGCTGCAAACGGTCCTCCCACCACCTTTGACACAGCAGCTATTGTCGCATGTTGAGACAGAGCTTTGCTCACTACAGTGAGGATTAAAGGAGCTACACCACAAAATATTAGTATGAGAGCAGGAATAGTCACAGCTCCTAAGGAAAGCTCCTTCATAACAGCTTACTGTCAACCTCCCCACAGAGACCACTGGTACTTTTTTATTTTTCGCGGTCAGCTCCTCCAGCTGCATCATGCTCTTTAGTCCTCCTCCTCCTCCTCCCCCCTTTGCAAGTCAATAGTGTGGATCAGCTGCTCCTCAGGCATAGCAATAAGCCCCCCCCCACTTGCCTTAGCCTGCTTCTCACTGGCTTAGGGAGAATGTCCTGCAGTGCCCTCCGGTACAGACCTCTGAACACAGAATCCTGCAGGTCCTGCTCTGTCTCAGTGCTCCACCGCTTTTCTTGGGCTTGCAGATAGGCAGCTGGGCTCTCCCCTTCCTTTATGGGCTCCACCTTCATGTATGTCACACTCAATCATGGAGGAAACATTAGTCGCAGCTGGTGCCAGTTGTTAGCATGGAAACCATCAAACTGGCATGCATTGTTTACAGGAGTCCCTGTCGCCACTGCCAGACCACTGCCTCGCAGCACCCCCTCCATCCCGTCCACCCCCATAACACGAGCCTGAACCGCTTTTATGTCCCCCAACACCAGCAGCTGTCCCATAGTTTCCTCTTCAAATACTTTCATCCACTTTCCAGCCCTGTCTGCCAGGACTGGGAGTCTGAGGAGCAGGCCCTCCAGATCCTGTCCAGCCCATGGCACATACTGTGTTTGCGCTCCTTTCACCACCAGGGGGAGCATCAAATACATTTTTGGGGCGGTTTACAGACCTCCTGCTTCGCACTGTTTTTTGCTCTGCCTCCTCCTCTTCCTCTACTTCCTCTTTCCCCAGTATGGAGGGTTAGGGGTGTCCAGCAGATGCATCAGCCCTTCTGCATTACTACCACTTGTTCCTTCTCCTAAATTTTAGCACTACGTTTTCTCTCAGATTCACACGCCTGCCCCTCCACTGTCACCTCACTGCCTCGCAGTCCCTCCCCCACTGCCTGCCGCAGCAGGGCTCTCACTTCCCTGTACCCGTCTAGGCAGCTTGCTGTTTCTTTCTTTTCCCTGGTCACTTCATCCCTCTGAACTCTACCTTTCCTTCTATTACTGGGACCTAACCCTGGTATGAAGGAGGAGGGGCTTCCACTAATGGGTACTGAGAGCTCCTGCTCTCTCAAATTACTTTAATACCCTTAGTTCCCTGCAATATTCTTATCTTGCCTTTCCCCTCTGTCAGTGACCTGTGCCATACATCTATCTCTGTACTGCTTTCTCAGTTCCTCATGCATTTTCCTCCATTCTACTCTTAAATCCTTGGGCTTTAGTGGTTTCCTAAGATTTGTTCAAATTTTGCAGTCACCTACCCGCACCTATACTACTGTTAATGTTTTTGCATTAAAGTCGCAAATACTTCCTTCTGCATCTCTATCAATTCGCCTCCTACTAATTTAGACTCCTTATACTTTTTTACTACTGGAACAACTATTCCTGCTTCATACACCTTAACACTCAACTTACCTGTTAACTTCCTCTGTCTCAGCCCAAACCTGTGTATACAACCACTTTCTTCACGCCCTCATAATATTTCCCCATTAAACTAAACGCTCTCTGGGCCCTATTCCTAGTCTTTTTTTTCTAATACAATCAGTCCAATCCAGTGGACCTTCTCCTCTTAACATCTGAAACTTTTACTATGCAGGCCTTCTCTGGTCCTGTCTACT